GAGGCGGAAGCAGATCAGAACCTAAGCACCAAAGACCTCAATATTAAGAGCAGTCACCGAAATTAATCTAGTTAAATGAAAAGAGCTGCTGAGCAAGTTTAACTATTTGGCTGCATAGTTTAAGTTTTAATAAACCATTAAGAAAAAGTCAGATATGAATGTCTTCACCGGTTTAATTAATAGGTAGCTTGATGGCATGGTAGATAAAGTGCTGACTTGGGGTTAGGAAAACCTGGCTTCCAATCCTGTCTCAAACACCTACTAGCTATGTGACCCTAGGCAACTTCTCTGAGGCTCAGTTTTCTAATCTGTAAAGTGGGGGTGATAATAACAGCACCTACCTGCCAGGGATGTTGTAAAGATCAAATGAGATGTTTTATATAAAGCCCTTTCCAAACCTTCGAGTGCCATATAAATGTTAGCAATTACAATTACTATTCTTACAATTACTATTCTTGTTGATTAGGCGGATTTACAAGAACCAAAGAGCGAATCAGTACTAAGGTACACTACACTACAATTTTCAAGACTATGAGTTACAAGAAATAAAACTCAATTGTACAATTTATCGAGTCCCTACTACAAGAAAGGCCCTGAATGAGGTAAGAGGGGTGAGGGTTGGGAAACTCCAAAACAAAATGCCATCTGTCACCTTCTCAAAGAGCTATGCATCTACCAGAAGGAGGACTAAGTCAAGCACACTACTATTCTACAAGGTAAAGAGGAAAGGTACCGAAGAGAGCCAAAACAGACAGCAAGCTCACAAAACTGAGGAAAGAGGGAAAAACACCTAGAGATGACATTCGATGTGGGCCTTGAAGGGTGGCTAATAATCCAAGGCAGAAGGTTCATTAATCACTTTCTTCTCAACAAGTTTCAGAGAGGTTAGGTGACTTGTCCACAGCCACACAGCTAGAAAGTCTAGAAACCAAGCTCTACCTCCAGGTCTGGCTCTTTTTCTACTGTACCATTAAACAAGCAAAGCTGTGGGCAGCCAGCATTTGGGGGAACACTGGATTGCGTCAGGCATAAAGCACAGGCAGGGAGCCAACGGGAACTGAGATCGCACCTGGGCTGGGAAGATCCCAAGATGCCAAGCGAAGGCCAGCCTTGCTCTTTGGGTCACTCACTGGGTATTAGGAAGACTACCATGACAGAGGGTACAAAATGAGCTGGGAATGGGGAAAGCAAACGGAGCCAAGGAGTTCAGTTAAAAAGCCACTGAAAAAAGTGGTAAAAAACTGAAAACAGGGGCAGCTAGGTGGCGCAGGGGATAGAGCACGAGCCCTGGAGTCAGCAGGACCTGAGTTCAAATCCAGCCTCAGACACATAACACTCACTAGCTGTGTGACTCTGGGCAAGTCACTTAACCCCAATTGCCTCACAAATATATAAATGAATGAATGAATGAATGAATAAGTACGCAAATAAATAAATAATTAAAGGAATTATGGGGTAGCTAGGTGGCACAGTGGATAGAGCTCCAGACTTGGAGTCAGGATCCAGCCTCAGACACTTGACACTTACTAGCTATGCAACCCTGGGCACGCCACTTAACCCTGATTGCCTCACAAAACAACAACAACAACAACAAATAAGCCAAAAAAAAAAACCCCTGACAACAAAGTAGGTGCCCATCAATTGGAGAATGACTGAAAAAAAGTCCTGGTATGTTAACGCAATGAAATAATACCGCATCAGAAGAAACGCCGATTACAAAGAATTCAAAGAGATGCAGAAAAAGACAGGAGAATCCGATGAGCAAAACGGCAGCAGGAGCTGGGATGAAGTACATAAGAGAAAAAGGGAAAGATGACAGAAAGTGAGAGAGAGGGAAAGGGAGAGGGAGAAAGAGAGAAAGGGAAGGAGGGAGGGAGAGAAGAGAAGGAGGAAGGGGAGAGAAAGAGAGCGATAAGAGACATGAAAAGAAGGAAGGAGGGAGGGGAAGAAGACAAAGAGGGGAGGAAAGGGAGGGATGGGATGGGGAAAGACAGGAAAAGACTGAGGAAAGAGAGAAAGTAGGAGAGGGACACAGGATATATTATCAACAGAAACCATTTGGATAAGTGGAGGGACAGCCAGGTAGTACAGTGGATAGAGTGCCAGGCCTCGAGTCAGGAAGACTCATCTTCCTGAGTTCAAATCCTCAGTTCAAAGCCTCAGACACTTCCTAGCTGTGTGACCCTGGGCAAGTCACTTTACCCTGCTGGCCTCAATTTTCTTATCTGTCAAATGAGAAGGAAATGGCAAACACTCCAGTATCTTTGCCAAGAAAACCCCCCAAATGGGGTGACAAAGAGTTGGACACTAGTGAAATCACTGAACAAGGATAACTAGGGAGGGGTGGTGCCATTGATGGAACAGGGTTTGGGGGCAGTTAGAGAGAACACAGCATAAACAGTTGAGGCATGTTGAGCCCGAAGCACCCAAGACAATGTTTCTTTAGAAAATCCTCTTATTTCCATGATACCACTTATCAGAAAGGACAGCAACATGTGGAATTCGAGGAGCATTTCACTTGGATTCAGAGGATCCAAGCTCCAATCCACCTGGGTGACTTGGGGATAGGAGCTCCTGTGACCTCAGGGAGCCTCAGTTTCCTTATTTGCCAAAAGGGAAGGCAGTCCTACCAAGAAGGCCAGAAAGCACAGACAAGCAGAACAGCTTGGAAAGCTACAGGGTGAAATGACAGATTAAAAAGAAATGCGAGCTGGACACACAGAGGCCCGCAGGTCTACACACAATCCTTTTCTGTGCTACTAAGTATATGGAAGGGCCCACTATTTGTGTTTGTGTTTGCTAAGTTCAGAATAAAAATTAAAATTCCAAATGAAGGGGTTGGACCACAAGGCCCTGAAGGACCCTTTCCAATTCAATCGCAATCTATGATTCTATGGATCAAGTTCACAATGTCTAACTGTAGCTTTAAAAAGATACTATCCATTTTTAAAAGTCAGAGTTACGTAACAGAGAACCATGAAACCCCAGAGGTGGGAGTGGCCAGCTAGTGCAGGAGTTCCCTCTACAAAAACTCCAGGCAAATGTCCTGCAGCCTCTCCCAGAAAACCCCTCCATTTTTGGACAGCGCTCCTTCTCCTCACAATCACAGAGTCTATTAGATGCCAATGTTTGCTTGGAGGCATTCAGGGTTAGCAAACAGGGCCACAGCAAGCTATGGCCAAAGCCTCCTCCTCCGATTCTTGGTGAAATCCTCCCTTCCAGTCAATGAGAATAGTTCTTAGAAGAAATGTGAGGGCAGAGATGAAAATGGAAACTCAAGTTGAATTTCCCGGGGGCCTTATTTGCCCAGTTTCATTGTGGATTATTTGGTTTCAGTTTCTAATTTAGACACAAGACTTATGGGTCTGTTTTTTCTTTTGTCATCAAGGAATATTCAATTCACTGATTCTCTTTGGAAATTAAAAGACATTTAAAATTCTTTCTAAAACTGTGGCTTTGTAAACTTTGCATTACATAGTCAGGTTTAAACCATTTGCTGGACCCAAAACAAAACATGTTGAAGATTTAAGAAAACCTAAAATATGTCAACCTGCTTTATGTGAACCATATTAGACTAAAAATACTGCACACTATTCACAGATGATCCCTTGTGACAGAGTCCAGGGGAACGAAAACGGGCTTTCTAAAGGAAGCTTCAAATCTTTAAAACAGGTTTTCAAAACAATATCAAAGTATACCTAAGGTATAGCTTTCAATTATCTTTATTAAAAAAGGAAGAGAGCGTTTGTTCTCTACTAGCTCAGGCCAGAAAGGAAGCAGTCCCCAGTCGAGCGCCTGGCTCTGAGGCATTTGGGCCCTGAGAACACATTCCACCTACGGCAGGGTGTCAAACATCTATGGATGGCCCCTGTTCGGCATCCCCCTGTGCTGGACGGCGGGGATGCAAAGATGCTGGAACTGACATTCCGACCTGGCCAGCCTCAGCTTCCTCCCAGTTCTACAATCACACAGGGGTTGGAGCAGAACCTTTCCCATGCCCCCCCCCCCCGGCCCAGGCTGGTGCAAAGTCTAAGTGTCACCTCGTCTTCTCCTTCCTGGATGGGGGAGGGGCGGGGATCCCGAGGACGCCGGCCCCGGAGCCCCCCTCACCCTCCAGCGATCACCCACTTGGCCCGGCCTTTGAATTCCAGCAGAAGCCAACTTTGCCGTGTGCCCCGCCCCCTGCCCGGCCCGGCCCCAGTGTGGGGAGGAGGAGACCCCCCCGGGGGACCCGCCCCCCCCAAGAGGGCAGGGTCTTCAGCCCTCCCTATGTCAGCGCGGGTCCGGCCCCCGCCCCTCCGAAGGAGGGCTTTAAGTACAGGATCCCCCGGGGCTCCCCATCACGTGGAGGGCGCTTTTCACTTCAACAGCCACTTTGGGGGGGGACCCCGAGTTCCAATCGTGCCTCACCCACTTCCCAGCTGCGAGTCCCCGAGCACGTCACTTCCCCCGTGTGCCTCAGTTTCCTCCCCTGTAGCGTGGGGGCAGGGAGGCTTGAGGACAAAACGAGATGACAATCGTCCCCTCTCCCCGCTAGGCCCAGGGACTCCCGGGGCGCGCCCTCCCCCCAAATCACGGTCACGGGTGGGAGGGGGGCGATGGGGGCGGGGAGGAGATGGGAGGGGCGGGGGCCGCCCGGCCGGGCAGCGCCGGAGCAGCCCCTGGCTCGGCCCCGGGATGCCTCAGTTTCCCCGGGCGGGGCGGGGGGCCCTGAGGGAGGCCGGCCCGGGGCCTCGGGTGCCGCTCGCCCCGGCCCGGCCGAGTCTCTGCCTCCCCTCGGCCCCGGGCCGGCCCCTGAGGCCCGGCCGCGGAGCCGCCTCACGGGCGCCCGGAGGCCCGGCAGGGCCGGGGAGAGGCGGAGAGGAGGCCGGGCCGGGGGTCGTGCGGGGGTCGCGGGCCCGAGGCCCGGCCGGGGGGCGGAGCGGGAGCCGCCGCCGCCGCCCGGGCTCGGGCTCGGGCTTCGCCTCGGGCCGGGCCCGGCCCCGCGGAGCCGCCTTTACCTTCATCAGCCTCCTGCTGGCCGCCATCTTGGGTCTGGTGCTGCTGGTGTCCCACAATGCATCGCGGCCGCCGGGCGGCTCGAGCCCCTGCACTTCCTGCCGCGCGCTCGAGCGCCGAGGGGCGGGGCCGGGGCTGGAGGCGAGGGAGAGGGAAGGGGGGGGGGCAGAAGAAGGGGGGGCGGAGAGGAAGGGGAAAGTGGAGGGGTGGGGAGAGAGACGAAATGGGGGAGCGGGGGAAAGGGAGCGGAAAGTGCCCTGGGAAGGGGCACGGGGGAGAGAGGGGGAGGCCGCCCGTCCCCATCGCCCCCACCCCGAAATGTGGACCAGAACCCGAAGATTAGCCGGGAAGGCGCGCCCGGGAAGCCCCCCCCCGGATCGAGGAGGAGGGGGCGGGCGCCGGTAGAGCGGACGATTGTCATTTTGTCCTCTCACTGTACAAGGGAGGAAACTGAGGCACGCAGGAGGGAGGGGAGAGGAGGGAGACTGGTAGAGGGATAGGAAGAGGAGGAAGGAAAGGGGAGATGAGTTGGGGAAGGGGCTGCTACCGGACCAAAGGGATATCCCACTTGAAGACCTGAGTGTAAATTTAACCTCATCCCTCCTGGCTGTGTGTCCCTGTGCAGGGAACCTAACCCCTGCGTGCCTCTGTTTCCCCGTCTGTAAAATGGGAGCATGAACAGCCCCTCCCTGCCAGTGTGGTTGTAAGGTTCAAATGAGATCCAGTTTGTAAAGCGCTTGGAGCAGTGCCTGGCACACAGTAGGCCAGCGCCTGGTGCACAGTAGGTGTTTGATGAGTGCCTGTCCCCACCGGGAGAACGCAGGAGCAGAGCAGCAGTTTCCAGGGCATGGAGGCCAACAGCTGTGCCAGAGACCAATTGCATTAACAGAGGGTTTCTTTGCTGACTTGGGCTTGGCAGTGAAAATCAGCCCGAGCCCATGCCCTTGGCCGTGCCCCTCCAGCATCCCAGAGCTCTGCACACTTCGCAGATGGTCCAGCTCTGCATCCAGGAGAGAGGGAGGGAGAGGAGGAGAAGGCAGGGAGGGAAGGGAGAAGGGGACCCTGGGGAAGGCGGAGGAGAAAGTAAACCACCCCTACCCTGCCCCCAGCAAAATAAAAACTTGGGGGTCACCAGAAGAAACTGAGGCAGAAGAAACAGCACAGACACTAGCGTTCTAGGCCTGAGCCCACAGGGCTCGGTAGCTTCTATTTTTGGTCCCCCCCCATTCTTTAGTTCAATTCCAGGGGTTCACTTTCATTAAATATGAGTTTGGGTTTTTTCTAACATAATGTAGACATGTTGAACTGATCAGCAAGATTACTTGGAACTGCTTGTAGGTCTGGTTTGGTAGGTCTAATTCAAATGGAATGTAAGCTCTAGTCAACTAGTCAGTATACAAGACTTTATTAGGCACCTACTATGTGCCAGTCTGAGACCCCAGGAGGAGACAGGATAAGTCAGAGCCAGCCTATCAGAGCCATGGGAGTCCAAGGTTCAGGTAGGGGAGGAGGTGAAGATGGTTCTGTCAGCCCATGAGGCCCGGTAAGTAGACAGCCAGGAAGGGAATGCCTCTTCTGATCCCCAGCAGTCACCTGCCCTTCAAATGCATCTTGCATCTGTTAGGTATCTTCTTATATGTGCCTGGCTAGATTGGAAGCTTCTAGAGGGCAGGGACTGTTCTACTTTTGTCTCTCTGTCTCCTCCTCCTCTTCCTCCCCAGCCAAGCACAAGGACCAGCACCTCAGTAAATGCTTGCCCCAGGATCTCCTCTGCTGGAAGGCATCTTTCCCTCCTCTCTATTCTAACAGTATTTTGTACTCTTTCATCACACTTGCTTAGGGGTCACCTAACCAGTGACTCCCCCTCAAGTCAGCCCAGTCTACTCTGGGTAGACACTAATAGTTAAAAAGTTTCTAGACATCTAGGCCACGGGTTCCTTTCTACCCTCTGGGGCGAAGCTGGGAAAAGCTGCCCCCTCTTTCCTAGTGGCTGCCCCAGGAATCCTGCTGCCCAAGGAAGGCTTCAGGCCAGGGCCGAATGACCTCTTGTTAGGGGATTCCTGCTCATTTGGGTGCTGTCTGAGGTCCCTGCCCATTCTGAGATCTGTGACTGGGGGAGCCTGAGAGGTGCCCAACCTGGAGGGAAGAGCCCCTGCCGGCCTTAGTCATCCTGGGGTTTGGCTTGCTTGGCTCACCAACCCTGCCCTGGTCAGCGACCAATTGAAGCTGGGTGTTGATTAAATTTCACCGACCCATTCGTCATTGCTTGGCAGGTTAATTATGCAAGCCATAATTGTGATAGGAATTTAGATAAAGGTCGCTGTTGTTTGTCCTTCCTTCTCAAAGAGGAACATGGCACCAGGGGGGTGCTGCCATGACACACAAGTGAATTGGATTTAAGTGAGGCAGGGCTGTGCAAGGTCACCAGCCTCACCTTCTCCTTCAGAGCCATGTAGGTCCAGCTCGATATGGATCGGGATGACTGGAGATGGCCCCAGATGCAGTGGGGGACCTTGGCCTTTTTCAGCTAGGGTCTTTAACAGGTCTGTTTGACTGAGGCCACTGCAAGATCTGTGATTAAGGTAAGAAATACCTTAAGCCCAAATCACTCTGGCTGTCATTGGTTGACCAACAGTAGGTCCCAGGCTTGAGCCCTGATTGACTCAGAGTGAATGTAAATAACAATTGTTTCTGTTTTGGGCCAGAAACCCTGAGGGTCTTCCCCTCCCAGATTGATTTTTTTTTCTACCTAAGTAAAACGGGCCACTCTCTGCCTCCTTAGACAAGGGAGGGAGGGCTATAATGCTGGGGTGGGTGACCCAGAGATGAGACCTTTCCTAGTCCACTCAGCTGCTCATGCCTTCCTCTCTCAGACTGCTTTCCACCTTCTCTCTCTCTCTCTCTCTCTCTCTCTCTCTCTCTCTCTCTCTCTCTCTCTCTCTCTCTCTCTCTCCCTCTCTCTCTCTCTCTCTCTTCCTCTGTCTCTTCCTCTCTCTCTGTCTCTGTCTCTCTCTCTCTCCTCTCTTCCTTTCTCTCCCTGTTTCTATCCCTCTGACTCTCCTCTTTCTCGCCTCTTTCATTCTCTCTCATTCTTTCTTTTTTTGTGTATATGAAATCTTCCCACTTGTTTACCTGTTGTCTCCCTCATTAACATACAAGCTTTCTGAGGGCAGAGACCCCACTCTTGCCTTCGTATGTCTCCCCAGCTGCACCTAGCCAATGGTAAGATTTCATAAATGTTTGCTGACTTGATTTGACCTGAAAGAAGAGCCAAAGATGTCTAGAGTTGGACTAACCGATATGGCCACTCCCCAAAGGGGAGCAGCGCAGCTGATCAGGTTGGAGTTTTTTCTGATTACTAAAGGAAGAAGAGCAAGAAAAGGGAGACCAGAAAGGGCGGTGGGCTGGGAACCAGGTGGTCTACACTGTCAGATCCCATCCAGAGGTGGCTGTAAAAGGGCGGAGCCAGAAGGGGGCTGGTAGAGGAGGGAGGGATTGGGGAAGACAAGGACGCTGCAGGTGTCCAGCTCATATTCAAGGAAAGCAATGGGATGACAACTAACCAGAAGAGGAGCCAGTTCTAGAAAAGGCCACTGGTGCGTGTTTGGGGGTGGCTGGGTGAGTAAGGGAAGGGCCCAAGAACATGGAGGTGCAGAAGGGGCAAAGCAGGACACCAGGCCGCGCTCACGGAAACCCGGACTCCGGGGGAAGGAGGGCGGGGCGTCAGGGAAGAGAACTTTGGCAGTTTCTAAGCCAATATTTGAGTTTCTTTGGCTCCTCCTTGGCACAGGGCCTCTAACTCACCGAGTGGACAGTGGCATCTGGGCAGGGCTTGGTAAGTCAGTTGTCCAGGCCTGCGTAGCAGAGAAGTAAAAACATACAACCTGCTTAGTTAATTGTGCTTTTAAAAAATACATAAGCTTTCATTAGATTAGCAAACTTTCAAATGCCAGAGCCTGGCACGTAGGAGTAATAATAACAATAACGACGGCATTTTATATAGCACATTAAGGTTTAAAGTCAGTCGTTTCCATCATGTCTGACCCTTCCTGGCCCCATTTGGGGTTTTCTTGACGTAGATGCTGGAGTGGTTTGCCATTTCCTTCTCCAGCTCATTTGATAGATGAGGAAACTGAGGCAAACAGGTCAAGTGACTTGCCCAGGGTCACACAGTAAGTCTTTAAGGCTATATTTGAACTCAAGTCTTCCTGACTCCAGGCCTGCTCTCTGTCCACTGCAACACCTAGCTGCCTCTGTTAAATGTAAATCTGGTTCTACCATAAAGGTCACAGAACTAATTCACTCTGAATTTTTCTTGCAGACAAAAAGCCTTCCAGAGTTTAGACTCGATTCCACTTTGGACACCAGCCATTCAGGGCTTTAGTCATTTTGGATAGATGACTCTAGCTGTCTTCACAACTGACTTCCTGAACATTCATTCAGGAAAAATGCAAATATTCATTTAATCCTTGAGAGCAGGTTTGAGTTTTACTCATCCTGATGGTCCTCACAGCAACCAACCACCCTCATGAACATTGCTTAATGAATATTTACTTCATTTAATGGAATCCAATAGAACAAGAGTGATCTCAACTTTAATCCTCCAGAGACATCAGCATTCGATGGCTTACAGCCATCTACATCACTGGAAGAATGTTGACGATGGGTTTCGTTTCTGGGAATTTTGTTTTGTTACTAACATATCACAGTTTGACAAACAGAAAAGGAAAATGACAATTGCTGGAAGGGCTGTGGGATAATAGGCGCACTAATGCCCAGTTGGTGGAGCTGAGAATTAGTCCAGTCATTCTGGAAAGCAATTTGGAACTAAGTCCAAAAGGTCACCAAATGAAACATTTCTTTGACCCAACAATGCCCCTATTAGGTATCTCCAAAGAGATCAGAGGATTGACTAATATGATAAAAAGGAAAAAAGAAAATGATAAATGTTAGAGAAGATGTGGGAAAATTGGAACACTAATGCATTGTTGGTGGAATTGTGAATTGATCCAACCATTCTGGAGAACATTTTGGAACTATGCCCAAAGGGCTTATACCCTTTGATCCAGCAGTACCACTATTAGGTCTGTATCCCAAAGAGATCATAAAAAAGGGAAAAGGACCCACATATACAAAAATATTTATAGCAGCTTTTTTTGTGGTGGCAAAGAATTGGAAATTGAGGGGATGCCCATCAATTGGGGAATGGCTGAACAAGTTGTGGTATATGAATGTGATGGAATACTATGGTTCCATAAGAAATAGTGAGTAGACAAATTTCAGAAAAACCTGGAAAGAGTTACATGTAAGTTACAAGTAAGCAGAACGAGGATAACATTGCACACAGTAACAGCAACATTGTGCATGATTAACTATGAGTGACTTAGCTCTTCTTAGCAAAACAATGACTTAAAACAATTCCAAAAGACCCTAGATGGAAAATGCTATCCACATCCAGAGAAAGAACTTTGGAGTCTGAATGCAGATCAAAGCATACTGTTTTCTCTCTTTTTTCTTTCTTGTGGTTTTTCCCTTTTGTTCAGATTCTTCTTTCACAACATGACTAATGTAGAAGTATGTTCAATATGATTGTACAACATGTATAACCCATATCAGATTACATGCTGTCTTGGGGAGGAAGGGAGAAGAAAATTTGGAACTCAAATTCTTACAAAAATGAATGTTGAAAACAAACAAAAAAGAAAGATTTGTATTTTTAAAAATCATGGAATTATTGAACTAAAAAAATTTTTTAAACAAACAAGAAAAGATCAGAGAAAGAAAAAAAGAGTCTATAGATACAAAATGTCCGTAGCAGCTCTTTTTATAGTGGCAAAGATCTGGAAACTAAGTATTTGCCCATCAGTTGGGAAATGGTGTTACATGAATGTAATGGAATGTTTTTGTCCTATACAATAAAGATGAACAAGAAAGGTCCACAGAAATCCAGGAGGACTTGTAGGAACTGATGCTGAGAGAAATGAACAAAACTAGGAGAACAATTTATATAAATAACAACCGCATTATAAAGACAAACGGCCTGGAAAGACCTAAGAATTCTGATCAAAACAATGACCAACTCAAAAGGATAGAAGGAGAAGCATATTACAGACAGAGAGGTGATGAATTAGAGAATGAGACTTACATTTTCAAACATGACCATTGGGGAATTTGTTTTGTTTGGTTATATTTTTTACAAGAATTTTGTTTTTATTTTTTTCTACCGAGGGATGAGAGAGGAGGGGTAGTGATAATGTCCCTGATAAAAAGAAGAGAAAGAAAAGAGGGTCATTACAGCATTTTTGAAAAATGTGTAGAATGGGGCAGCTAGGTGGCACAGTGGATAGAGCAATGACCCTGAAGTCAGGAGGACCTGAGTTCAAATCCTGCCTCAGAACAAACACTTGACACTTATTAGCTGTGTGACCCTGGGCAAGTCACTTAACCCAACTGGCAGAAAGAAAGAAAGAAAGAAAGAAAGAAAGAAAGAAAGAAAGAAAGAAAGAAAGAAGAAAGAAGAAAGAAAGAAAGAAAGAAAGAAAGAAAGACGTGTAGAAGAAAACTGAAGGAACACTAGAAGAAACTATCCTTCCAATTCTATACCATGAGCAAAGGAAAGTAACATGGGGGTGAATAGACTGTAGCATATTTCCAATGAAGAATTGTACAAGAAAAGAAGCATGAAGGAAATCCATCATAAAACATCAAGTCATCTACCCCAAGAGATGGATGACCAGAAAAGGATGTGGGCAGTTACGTAGTGAGATTGAGGGATAACCATGATTCATTGCCAGATATGATAGGAAAAATAAATACCCTGAGTTCAACAGGTAATCAGATCACAGTGGGTCATAGAGTTAACCGTGGAGAACCTGAAGAAAACACCAGATTTGAGGGGCAGCTAGGTGGTGCAGTGGATAGAACACTGGCCCTGGAGTTAGGAGGACCTGAGTTCAAATCCAGCCTCAGACACAACACTTACTAACTGTAAGTGTTGTTAAGTCACTTAACCCCAAATGCCTTGAAGAAAAAAATATATATACCACATTTGGATGGATGGAAGGGCATGCTTAGTAGCAGGAAAGGCATGAGCAAAGGCTGGAAGGTGGGAAAGGTACAAAGAGGATTCACGTAAAACGCATGGAGTTTGGGTGGAGCAGAGGACTCACCAGGAGGATTTTGAGAAAAGAGGCTTATCAGTTAACAAGTCTTGTCATTTCTGATTCCAAAACATGTCTCCTTCTCTCCCTTCATACAGCCACCCCCTCCTCTGGTTCAGCTCCTTCTTACCTCCTCCCTAGGTTATCGCCATAGCCTTCTAACTGCCTCAAGTCTTCCAGTACAATCTATCCTCAGCTGGGCTGCCTATGTGATTTTGGAGCTGGAAAGTGGGGAGGTGGGAGGGAGGCAGATGGAGTCTTTCTAGGCAGAGGCTTCTTGAAAGAGATGGTTCCTTTCCCACCTCGAAGCCCAGAGTGCTAAAGTAACCAGAGGAAGGACCCCAGCACAGTTTGTGGATCCCACCAGAACACCAGAGCTCATGCTTAGCCAGGCATTCTGTTAACTACCTTGCTGCCCAGTATTCTCTACCTCCTGATCAGGGAAAATAATCAAATCAACATTATTACTACTGCTGAGAAGGGTGTGAAAATTTACTCTTCTGGAGCCGCACTTAGAATTCCTATGATTTAGACTGCCTGGGCTCCTTTTCTTGTCCACCTCTCCCTGCTTCTTCATTCTCATCCATCTCAGCCCCTCCATGCAATCCCTCCCCTTCCATTGTACAGTAGTAGTTTTATAAGCTGATTATCTCCCTCTCCCCCCAGGTATAGTCCCCAGGCTAGCAGCTCCAGCTTGAGGACTGTCCAGCCAATTGCTGGCCTGTCCCCTGAATAGGGAAAGAGGAAATGGACTCCCCTAAAAGAAAAACAAAAGAAGACAAGAATTATCTCTTGGCTCTCTATCATGGGCCAGCATCACAGAAGGATAGTTCTTCAATCTCATAAAAAGATGTCGATGGACATGCCCACACTCTCTGTGGTACCCTGATGCCCCAAAAGCTCACCAGTCTGTAAGCTTATCCAGTTGATAAGGGAACTCCTCAGATCAACCCCAACTCCCTTACACATATGACTTGGGACTCAAGACAACCCTACTTTATAGTTGAGGCAATTAAAGCCCAGAGAGATTAAATGGCCCAGAACCATAAAGCAGGTAAGTGCCAGGCACAGCATTTCCATCTCCTGCTTCTCAATTCCATTAGCCCATGCTGTTTCTCAATAGCAAATAGTCCTCTTGAGCTGCTGTGGGTCCCCCTAAAAAAAATCACGACCTTGTGGTGATGAACCTCTTTAGACTTCGCTGAGCTGGTCCTCAGAAAGCAGAATCCAGGGTTACTAGCTGTGATACATGACTCTGATAGACTATTGTTATGCTGTATGAAATGACAAGCAGGCAGATTTCAGAAAAACCTGGAAAGATTTATGTGAACTGATGCAAAGTAAAGTGAGCAGAACTAGAAGGTTGTACACAGTAGCAGTAATGTTGTGTAGTGAAGAGCTTCTCAGCAATGCAATGATCCAAGACAAGCCCAAAGGACTCTTCTGCCACCAGAGAAAGAATTGTTGTCTGAATACAGACTGAAGTATGCTTTTTATTTTGCTTTTCTTTCCTTCATTCTTTTTTTTTTAAATTTGATTCTTCTTGTATAAAAAGACTAATATGGAAATGTTTTACATGATTGCACATGCATAACCTATATCTGATTGCTTACCCTCTCAGGGAGGGGAGAGGGATAGAATTCAGAATTCAAAACTTAAAAAAAAAGTTTTTAAATGGTTTTAACATGTAATTG